CTCCCCCGGCGGGGGGGGGGGGGGGGGGGGGGGGGACGCACACTCTACAACCACCATCCTGCAAGAAAGAAATCACAGCATTGAAAGGCTGTCCCTCCAGAATGTAGGACTTGCAGACCCATACTGAGTCAAAGCAGAAAACAACAAAAGAAATGTGTGGTTGTCCGTGGGGTTTTCTCCAGGCAATTTTATGTTTGACTAGACCCTGTTTCTCCTTGGGTAGGACACTCTGGGTCAGTGTCAACAGATTCCTGACAAAGACAGGTTACTGGTAACTTGAAAAAGCACTAATCTGATAGGCTGGGGCCTGTGCAGTGAGGAGACCATGAGCCTCATTGTGGAGTAGTTGGCATCTGTGTCCCATGGCAAAATAAAGCATAACTGGGCTTCTCTCCACTGCGCAAGAAAACAAGCTATTCCTTGTTTCTTATGCACAACTTCTTTTTGCAAGAGCAACTGGGACACAGAGGACGCTAGCCAGCTAAGGTGGCCTCCCCCAGCTTCAGAAACCAAGCAGCAGCCCTGGTCCTAACAGGCAGGACTAGAATTCAAAGTCATGGAATGTTCCCCAGCAGGGCAAAGTGAAGGAAAGTTGTGTGACCGCTCCTGGAAGACACAGCACCTGTTCATAGAGAGGCACTCACAGGTGCTGCCCTAGCTTGCCCCTTGTTCTAGCAAACCCTCTCCTGTATTCGGTTTCCCCTCATGAGACCAGAGCTACAATCTCCTGTCAGCAGGCAGACCGCCATCCAGAGTGTGTCTTGATCTTGAATTCAAGCTTAAAAGTGGTTTCCACACTGATAGGGGAGCCTTCCACACCAGCATTTCTGGGGCTTGCCAGACCCAAGGCCCACTTCAGAATTGCTGGGCCAGCATCTCAAGCAGCCAAGGGTCTGAGTGTCCTATTTTCTGTCCGAGACTCTTGGTATCACTAAACAAACACTAGTGTACATGAATCTCTGAACTAACAACTCCAAGACTGGCATGCTCCCTGGAATGGAGGCCATACCTCAGGAGAGACCCCAGAAGTTGCAGAAGGGCTTGGGTCATGTTCTGAGCGTGGGGAAAGTTGATCCTTGAGGAAAGTAAAGAATCGCAGCATGTGTTGCACACTGAAGGTCACAGTTGCTATGGTCTGAACATGGTTTAGCCACTCCAGACTCACACTGAAATTTAACGCTCACTATGAGCCGATTCAGCCTTTGCCCTCACTAGCAAACCATTCATGTGATCAAAGGACCAATGGGTTAATCTTATCACAATGGTGAGTCTGCTGTAGAATCCATTTTGTGGAGCTGATCTCTCACCGGGGATGTTTCTGCAAAGCTTCAGGACCCTGTCAGTAAGAAAATGATCCACTGATGGGGTCCTTTAATTGTAAACCAGAATGGAGAGCCCAAATCTATTACTTATCCCGTCTCTGGTGCTTTGGTATTAGCAAAAGACATGAACTAAGATAATTATGAAGATAAAATTAAAATCAGTCCGGGGCTTGAGGGTGTAGCCCAGTAAAAAAGCATGATCTTAGCATGCAGTGATCTTAGAATCTAGGATGCCTTTTTCTCCCCTCCCAATACTGGAGACCAAGTGCAGGGGTTTGTACATGCTGGACACGAATTCTACCACTGGCCTATAGCCCCAACCCTCTGTTTTTAAAAAGCAAGTCTCAAGATATAGCTCAGGCTGGCCTTCAGCTAGCTAAGTAGTACAAGCTAGCTTCAAACTTGAGATCCCCCTACCTCATTCTTCTTGGTACTGGGATTAATGGTATGAGTTACCCTGTCCAGGCAGAATGCCATTATTAAAATTTCCTTTAAAAGCAAAACGACATCTGTAATCCCAGCCCTCAAGAGACAGAGGCAGGAGGAGGGCAAGTTCAAGGCCAGGCTAGACTACATAGTGAGCTCCAGGGCACCATCCCAGGCTACACAGAGAGACTCTGTCTCAAAACAAATGAAATAAGAACAAATAAGAAGAAGAAGCAAACAGGGTACGGTGGTGCACACTTACCCTCGAAGCTTTCAGATGGCAAAAGCGGAAAGGCCACGAGTCCCAGAGAGGTCTAGGCTCTAGAATAATCCGTTGCCTCAAAAACTAAAGGCAGATAAGTAAGCAAAGCAAACTCAGAGTTAAAGGCATTGCACAAGCCCTGGTGTCAGCAGCACCCTCAGTACCAGTGGCTTCCTTCCAGGAGCTGTGACCTTTACACCCCACCCAATCAAAACCCAAGAGTTATCTCCACCTGAGACAACACAAGCTGTCTGAAAGGAACACAGTAAACAAACTGCCAATGAATGCAGGACAGAGTCCTGGTTACTTTGCTCTTCCCGTAGGCTCTTAACAGCCATTGCCGACTAGAGGTAGGCTCTACCATTGAGCTTAGTGAGACCTGGGCTAGGGGTCCGAGGAGGAGGAGGTCCGGACACCTCAAGCTGAAGACAAGAGTCTGGCTGACACTTGTTTTATCCCTTTTAAGCATGGCTTAATGCAGCCCACCACCTCCGGATGTGTCCCCGGTGTGTGCCCACACCCAGGGTCAAGGTTTTCGCTACCCCCAAGGGGCCATCAACACCATGGTTCTGTCTAGCCATACAGAAAAGCCAAGGATGGGGAACTAGAAACCTTCCCAGCACTGTTCTAACACCTTCACCAGCATAACTCCCTGAGAGGCAAGCATTAGCTTCATGATGAACACCTGTCCGCGTACTGAAGCCACGAGGCATTTTAAGACCCAGTTTACAGTTGTATTTTTTTCCTCGTCTATAAAATGATAGGGAAAACTGCTAGATTTCGAACTCTGAACTCATTAGCTATACAGGATATAGATAGCTGCAGACGGTAGGAGAGGCGCTTCTGTTGGCGAGGCATTAGGTCAAGCACTTTAAGTGCGGGGAAGTCCTAAATCCATCTGTTTTGACACGGGCTGAAGGTTAACTGTGATTCTCTGGGCCCTATGTGAACTTTGTCACCCACTGCAGGGATGACACTGCTCACTGCTGCTGCTCCATGGGGGGAGCGTGCTTTCCAAGAAGCAGTTCACAGCTGCACCTGTTACTGCAACCGTGAAATGAATTCGTTTGCTTAATTATTTATTGACGTGCAAGGGATCAAACACCTCAAAGCAGTCGAGTATATAAGGAGAGGAAATCGCTCCCTGAAAGCCGGGTTAGATGATCTAGGACAACTTCACGATGGGAAGTGGTTAAAATATCGCTGTGTACAGACAGACAAAGTTTGAGGAAAATCATGCCTTCTGGCGTGACTTTTTGAATTGAAATGATGTTGCGGGTAACTTAGAAAGTTTAAGTTCTTGCTAGAGTAAAACAAATCAGAGCTAAGAATTGCATGGCATGACACGTGTGGTCCGCATAAGAAAACAACTCCAAAAGTCAGCTAGTAGGTCAATATTAAAAGGCCACACCTTGAATTAGTAGGAAGCTTGTACTTCAGGGGACATATTGGCGGCGTTAGCTTTCATGAGTCTCTAACCAACTTCTTTATTAACTAAATCCAGCCCCATCAGCTCAGATAAAAGAATTCTTACTGTATTTCATTTAATTTCCACATTTTATTGACAGCAGGCTTCGTTTTCTTCCTTTTAGAGAAAAAAAGTAAAACCCTGGGGCTTAGGATATGACAAAATAGCTCATCCAAACTCAACCAGCAATTGAATTCAAAATTCTGAAACCCCTACTCCTTTTTTCTCAAAAGAACAAACAAAAAATAATTCTTTTTTTTTTTTTAGCTTTTTAACTTCCTGACTGTCCTTGAACTCGCAACCCTTCTGTCCCAGTCTCACTCAGAATGTGGGGGCCAAGGCTGTGCAGCACCTCTGCGGGCTCAGTCTGTATGTAGTCACCCTCAGAACCTCAAAACTAGACAACCAACTCCCTGTGAGCTGACCAAGGGTGCAGACACTTCCGTCTGAAGCATCCATATTTTCCCTCAGGCTTTCCTACACTAAAACTCTGCTAAAGTTTTATAGCTACAAGAGCTACAAGGCTCTATAACCCAGCTACTGACCGATTTGCATAGTCTTTTAATAGAAAAACATAATAAATGGCTTTCAGGTGTGTTATGATCCATTTCCATCTTCCAAAGGAAACATCACTAGTAGCAACATTCTTGGGATTCAATTCCCTCCAACGCCAGTGGCCAGAGCACATTCCAGGATGATGTGGGAACCAGGGCGCCTGCACGTCTGCTCAGGGAGGGTTGAGACATCTGCAGTCACCTTACCTGGCTCCTGGGGTGGCTGTCACGTGCGGACTTGCCGTTGTAGGGGTGGAGGCTGGCCTGTGGCCCCTCAGGAGGCACTCTGTTCCAGCTGTTCTGGACTGGCCGCCAAATGTGGTGACTCAGCGCGATTTTCCCAGTCCTAGTTCCCTTCCATACAAAAAGAGGAACCAGAAGGTGAAGAAGGGTCGTCTTGGAATTTGGAGCCAGCAGAGAATAGGAAAGTGAAACCAATAGGAGAGGGGATCCGTGAGTACGAGGTGGTGAGGCTTGGGCGTGGGGGGCGGCGGACAAGACACGGAGGGGACTGCTCTCCAATGATGCCACCCACAAGGTTGTCGCTCGCCCAAGGTGCTGTGCTCTTTCCGCCTCTACATTACAGAAGCATCTCTTACGTGCGGCTTGCCCGCCCTTTTTAATTCCTCCTGTCCAGTCCCGCCCACAGTTTCTGCAGAAAGAATGGCAATTCTGAGGACTTTTACCCCCAACCAAGACCCGCACGGCCCGGGGTCATTTCTCCATATCGCCAGTAGATGGCGCCGTTCTTTCAGTCAAGGCTTCCAGGGCTCTGGTCGCCTCTCCCCACAGTTAGAGCAGAATTTAATCTTGCAGACTTGTAACTGACTGTCGCACTAACAAGTATTTTAACTGCTAATGCCACCTCTTGCTCAATAAACGCCATATGTCCGGAAAGGAGCGATTCAAACACTCAACAACTTAAATCATTTATTAGTTAAAAACTGAACAACGAGGCTTCTACCGCTCCTGCAGCCTTCTGGAGCCTCCCACGTTATCGCTTCTCCTTCCCTGAACTCTGCCACCATGTGCATGATTCTAATTGATGCAAATATTTATTGACTGGCCCTGTGTAGGATGAGGAGTGCAAAATGGCCTTAAAGGGGCAGGGGTAAGAGGGAGGTGGTTGTTTACACAGATTTGAGGGCCTGTTTTGCTAACAGGTAACGTTCATGGATACTTCCTCATGCTAAGCCTTAAAGTAAATATTACTTCGATTGTTCTATTTAATTTTGACACCAAGCCAAGGGAACAATACCTCCTGTTCTCCTCATTTTTATACAGTTGGTGGCAGAGTGAGAACCCCACTACAGGCATGCCCATCCTAGGGCTTGGATTCCCATCAGGGATGCTGCTATGCCAAGGACCAGCTTAAAAATTCCAGTTAGGTGATGATAGGGGGATAAATATAAACCACATAAACACATCAGAGGGGGAGAAAGGAAAATCGATGGTCCCGAGTAAAGAAAAATGGAGATAAAACAAAACCCTCTCTGGACTGGACTTTGAGAATACCACAGTTGACCTTTGAGGTGCAATTTCAATAGGGCAAGGATAGAAATATCACAGTGGGTGTGGAGGGACGGGTCGAGTGGATGGCACAGGGGGAGGGGTACCTCTGGGGTGCAGAGTGGTGCCTCCTCCTCCCGCACCCACCTGAACCTAGGAGGCAGTCACAGGAATCAAGGTATGTCTACAAGAAATCAGAAATCCTGTGGATTTGTAAGTTCAGGTCTTCCAAATTAGCTTTAATCTGTTCAGAGACATCTGCGAGAGTAGGAATAGATTTTTTAAAGGCATCGACCGGATGCTGGCCATTTAGTACTGGACAGGATTATATCAGGGGCAGAGGAACGCAGTGAAGGGAAGCCTGGGCTGTGTGCACTGTGACCACATATTGCATACCAGAAAAGAAGTCTCCACCCCTGCACACCCAGACACAGAGGAACAGTATCCTCGCCTATGGTTAGCAAGCCTTCTGCCACTGAGCCATGCCTCCAGCCCCAGCTGGTACCCTGTTAAGAATCCCTTCTTTCTGCTGTTACCCTGTATCCAAATTAAAGACATTTGATAGAGTATAGTTTATATGTCCTCTCTCTTGCCATTGCTTCGTTGTCTGCTCAAAGCCACCAGGGAAATCGAAGCTGAAACTAGCAGTGGCCACTGGAAGCCCCGAGAAAGCCAGCAGTGGTCTGACCCTGGCCCCCGTACACTGTGGTCACAGGACATGGGTGGGACTAGGACTCCACGTGTCCACAACACAGGGTGCGCCAACTTGTAAAGACTGTTTATCAAGACGCAATGTCCAAGACAACCCAAGACTCCTCTCCCTGAGCCTTACACCACTGTACGATTCTGGGAATTAGAAAAATCTGTCTAGTAACTTGATTGTCCCATATTGATATTCAGATAACGTGCCGTCCTTAAGAAACAGCACACGAGAATGATTTAATTTGATTATTTGAGAGCTCTCTTTCCGTTCTCCATTGACATTTTTGTTTTGTCAGGGATACACAGGGGCTGACACCAACTAGAAAAACAAGCCACCAAAAGTCATTTATTTCCCCTGCGTCCCTCATGAGAAAGGCAAATCAGATCGATAGGCAGTTTATTTTCCATTTAGACAAACGACCTGTCAAAATGGCTTCTCTTCCGTTCAGTGTTGACAGGACGGCTTCCTGTCTGCGTGTGCAATGTCCAGTCAGAAATGCATCTAAAAGGAGGGACTTGAGCTTTCTGCTTCTCGTCTTACTTCAGGAAACGCTAGACCAAGCCTTGTCATTCCTGAAAAGAGGGAAGGGACTGGGGTGGAGCTTGGTGGCAGAGCCCCTGTTGACTTCCCATTCGTCCATCAAGGGCTTATTCGGTCCTATTTTATACCAGGCTGTTCAGCAGGTGAAGGCAATGCCCACTCTGCCCCGAGAGCCCACCAGGAGAGGACAGAAGGTGGGCTATATGGCGTCCCTGCCAATCACCAAGGAAAGTGCCATAGAAGTTGCTGATTAAGAACCATGAGAGGCAAAGAACAGCGGCTCAGAAAATCCACGGTAAAGGCAGGCCACCTGCATCCAGACTGACCAGAAAGAAGGCACCATGGGGGGGGGGGGGG